TTTAAAAAAATTCCTCCCATTTCAAAGATTAGCACCACTTAGATAGCGCTAGCTAAAGAAAAGAGCTGAAGTAAAAACTGTCTCAGTACGTTAGTCAGGAGGGGATTTACAAAGAGGAAGCTTACCCTGTTTTAATGGCATTACTTTCATTAGTTAAATAATGTTCTGAGATATCAGTTGACTGATCAGTTTATCTGCAGGCTTGGACTGCATTTATTCAGGTGTCACATGATTCAGGTATGTGCAAAATTCCAAATTCTTCCTCAGGAGGCTGTTCGAGTCTTGATCCGCCACTCTGCTGACGTGAACGCGCGGGACAAGAACTGGCAGACGCCGCTGCATGTCGCTGCAGCGAATAACGCGCTGCGATGCGCTGAAATCATCATCCCACTGCTGAGCAGCGTCAACGTGTCAGATCGTGGTGGACGCACTGCTCTCCACCACGCTGCCCTCAACGGCCACACTGAGGTAAAGCAGCCTGGAGCCGTCTTTTTAAGCACTGGAAGTAAATGATCAGCACGTAAGCTGCAGAGTGGGGCCGCATTCGGTTGCACTTCACACTGCAGTTCACAAATAAACAGGCTGTGACGTAACCGTCCTTTGTGCTGTTCTGGTTGAATAGCTTGGTTGAAGGAAACAGGTGGGCGAGTGCAGCTGTGTCACTGGGATTATTAAGTGGGCTGTGCATTTTGAAGCACTCCTCATCTTAGACAGAATCATTCACCAGCGTGCCAGATCTAAAATTAACAATGAGAGGCGGCAGATTTGTGGAGCGGAGCTGAATGGACGGTGCCTTCATTTCTGCTCGATAGGCCCTCCGGTGTTTTTATGCGGCGACTGGGCTGAGAGATGAGATGGATTTACAATGCTGTTATAAAAAGACCCGCCTGCTCACACATCCTGTTGCGCACACCTCCCTCTAATATTTCCTTCTCATGTCCTTTCTGTTTATTTGTTAGATGGTAAACCTTCTCCTCACTAAAGGAGCCAACATCAATGCCTTTGATAAAAAGGATGGCCGAGCTCTGCACTGGGCAGCTTTCATGGGTAAGAGACAGAAGTGAAGGTTGTTAAGCACATGTCACAGAGACAAAGGAAATGGAAAACCAGTCCAAACATAACAAAAACCTACCAACAAAAACATAACAACAACCTCTAAGGTCTACAAAGACATCAGCGGTTCATCGGAGCAGTGCTTTGGTGAAAAGGACGACCAATCAGCTGAGTGTCAGTGTTTCTTATAATCCCCCTTCAGGTCACTTGGATGTGGTGTGCCTGCTGGTAAACAAAGGCGCAGAGATCAGCTGCAAAGACAAACGAGGATACACTCCGCTTCACACGGCAGCCTCCAGTGGACAGATTGCCGTCGTCAAACACCTGCTCAACCTGTCTGTTGAGGTCAGGACACATACACCCACGTAAACACACGCTTTTGTCCCTAATTTTCAAACCGTCCACATTGCAAACAAAAATACATTCAGAAGTTTACTTTCACTCCGAGTGCTTCGAGTGATCCCTCACAGTAGAGAGGATGTTGTGGAGAGTAGTTAGATCCCACTCCAGCTTTTCAAAATGCCATCACTGTAGCTCTGCTGTTTCAATGTGAAAACTACCACTAACTAAATAAAAGAGGGAAAAAAAGGATACATAGAGTCAGATTTTCCTTGAATCTAAAAAGAAATCCTCAAAACATTCCTTCTGCGTGTCACTCATACGCCTGCTTGTTTACTTCAGAATGCCCTACAGAGATAGACAGACAGTCCCTTCTTGAGTGAACAGACCAATCCTAACATGACCAGCATTCATTGCATCGTTCACAAGTTAGAGCCAGCTCATTCTTATATACCTCAGAAATATGCTGCTGACCTCAGTAAGTGAACCATTTCGTTCACTTCTTTTAGCTAGCATATAGCATAAGCATACAGTCTATTACTTTTATCTAAACATAAACTACTAATATGTCCTAAATATTTTTACTAGCTTTATTGCTTTTTAATGGAGTTATAACTGATTTGACACGTACTAGTCACGTTGAGCTGATTGTGCCGTTTTCCCTTTGCACCTTGAAAGAGTTTACCTAGTCTTTATATGTTTCTGTTTTCTCTGACCACAGATAGATGAGCCCAATGCATTTGGAAACACGCCTCTCCACGTGGCCTGTTTCAATGGTCAGGACGCTGTTGTCAGTGAGCTGATTGATTATGGGGCCAATGTCAGCCAGGCCAACAACAAAGGCTTCACCCCGCTGCACTTTGCTGCTGCCTCCACACACGGAGCGCTCTGCCTGGAGTTCCTCGTCAACAATGGGGCCGAAGTCAATGTACAGGTACAGAGAAATATAGTTACTGGCAAGACTGGAGCCCAGCTATTATTGTATATCGAGTGTAATGGTGATGTTTATTTTTATTTTTATGAAATAAAAAAATACAGACTTAAGTTTAGACACATTAAGAGGTGTTTTAGTATTCTGTGGTAAACGAGTGCTGCTGCAATTGAACCTGAAGTTTCTGTGTCGACAGTTCGAGTAGTTCAGCTCGGTTCAATTTCATTTTATCTATACAGCGCCAAATCACAGTGACAGTCGCCTCAAGGCGCTTTATATTGTAAGGTAGACCCTACAATAATACGTACAGAGAAAAACCCAACAATCATATGACCCCCTATGAGCAAGCACTTTGGCGAAAGTGGGAAGGAAAAACTCCCTTTTAACAGGAAGAAACCTCCGGCAGAACCAGCCTCAGGGAGGGGCGGGGCCATCTGCTCCGACTGGTTGGGGTGAGAGAAGGAAGACAGGATAAAGACATGCTGTGGACATGCTAGTTGGTACAACATGCTAAATGCTAAAGCTAAAAACTTTTTTAGTCAATATTTTGGGCTTTCTTGAAAATGATTTTAAAGTGTTTAAATAAATGAACTGTGGCTATTTGCCAATTAATTACATTTTGCAAAGTAAAGCAGAGACAGGAGAAATACCCTTCACTTATCTTAGGAGTGCTGATGTTGCATAATTTGTCCACCAAAGGCAACAGGGAAGTTGCAGAGTGTTAAATGATAAATATCACCAGGATTCTAGAATGTCGAATGAGAGGATTACGAAATGTAAAAATATTCTAGAAAATACTGAATGTGACCCAAAGAACACCGTCCCCAGAGTCGAGCACAGAAGTGGCAACATTACGCTTTGGGGGTGTTCTTCTGCTAAGGGTGCTCATTAAAAAACACTGAAGTCTGAAGTCCGTGTTTCATTCGAAAGCTTTTTTTCTTCTCTGTCCACGTTAGAGTCGGGATGGAAAGAGTCCTCTCCACATGACTGCGGTTCACGGACGGTTCACTCGCTCTCAGACCCTCATCCAGAACGGTGAGACTTCTTTATGCTTGTGTTTGTCTCGCGGTGTCTTAAAGCTGCCTTAACTCCACAGGGTCATTATTTTTTTCGCGTTTTGTTTCAGGCGGAGAGATCGACAGTGTGGACAAGGATGGCAACACTCCCCTTCACATTGCTGCTCGCTATGGCCACGAGCTCCTCATCAACACGCTTATCACCAGCGGAGCCGACTGCACCAGGTTTGTTTGTTTATTTGTTGACTTGTTGAGAATTTTGTTGGTTACAATGACGTGTTATGCAGATAACGAGATACCCATGTCTTTCTCCAAAGGCGAGGAGTCCACGGGATGTTTCCTCTTCACCTGGCTGCCTTGAATGCGCACTCTGACTGTTGCCGGAAGCTGCTGTCATCAGGTAGCTAACTGGGAAATGGTGCATGATGGATTTAGTTAAACTTAGCTTTGCCTTATTTTCTGCCCTGTGGTGCTACAGTTTCAAAGTTAGTCAAAGCTTGAAATAAAGTAAATGTTTGTAAATGCGAAAAGTTGAGAATGAGGCAATGTAGAAGCTCAAATTGATACCATAAGTGTGTCTAATAATAATCTCGGACGAGTTTGACCTCAATGTCAGAGGTCATGTTTTCTGAACATTTTCTGAATGCAATAACACAAGAAGGAAGTCAGCTAGTATTCTGAAATTGATACCTGAGTGGTGACCTTGGTGATTGCCAGTATTTTCTAACATTAGTAACAAAATTTGCTGATTTAAAATTCAAAATTCGGATATATCGTCCTATGATGTTTCCCGTCTTATTGAGACGTACAAAACATTATATTTGTCTGCCTGACCTGATACGATCAGCTGGCTGTTGTGTTTGTGGGACTTCAAACAGGTGTGGGCAACATGTGGCACATCCTCTGGTGGACAAACTATCCAACTTCAACACTCATAAGTTCCCTGAAGAAGGTTTCTCCCATCTCTTATTTATTAAAAAAATAAATGCAGACATTGATAGACTGGCATATAGCTAACATCAGCTGATACATTGGTTGGTCTTTAGCCTGCACTACATGGTCCTTTTTTTCCTGGTGTCACAGGAAGCATTCTTTATATGTACTCGTCAGCTACGTCACAGCGTGTCCACAGAGAACAGGAAGTCGAGTTCACGAGCACAGAGTGTAGCTGCTCCGCAAGCGCCTACAGAGCGGAGGAGGGTGAACTGGTTGTTTCTGGAAAAAAAATAATAACTAGCTAGCAACAGCTGATGAAAAATGCATGAACGGATGCTATTTTCATTAACAGCATTTTGAGTCAATCAAACACAAACAGTGTTTTATGTGCTTTTGTCTAAAAAAGTGAAATTATTTGCTATTGTTTGTTGTTCCAAGAACGCCGAGTCAGCATTTCTACGTATGTGCACGTTGCCCTCAGTGTGCTGACTGAGGACTTCTGTTGTCTTAATTTCATCTTGGAGTGTAACTTCAGTGAGCGTTGAGTCCAGCTGTTGTTCTGCACAGGCACGCTCAGCTCCAGCCAAATTCAGGTCACAATGCTCCTGAAAAGACAAGGCCTCAGTCTCATTACTCATTTTCCCTCCGGACACAGTGCATCCCTGTGAATTCTCCTCTATCAGCAGTTATCTTGTTTACATCAGAAAGTTTCCGTGTTGCTTTATATCTATATGTCTATAGACGAACAATCAGAGTAATCTGCTGGTTGTGCTGTAAAATAATTTTCTTCTGCTAAACTTTTATTTCTGAAAACAGACGAAGAAACTTTGCATTAAACAAAAGTTGGGAAAAGACCCGACTTCTTCGTGCTTCCAGTTAACTTGATGATTTAACAAGGCGCCAGCGCTTGTGTGTGGATGAAACTGGGCTCCTCACATGGCTCTGCTGAGCTGCTGCAGCGAACAACAAAGAAGTCATTTACATGTGTTTGTGTGTTGTGCAGCTGCAGTACTGGGTTTGGTCAGGAATGCTGTGTTTGCTGCACCCACAGCTAAATCTTGGATTTCAAAATCCTTCATACCGTGGATCTCAGGAGTGATTTCCTGTCAGCTATGCAATTGTAGGTCTAACTCTGATAATCATGTGGATGTGAAAGAAAGAGTACACGTGTACGTGCAGCCTGTGCCAATCTGAGCCTGGACTCGGTAAGACTTATAATTCAGTGCTATAGAAACAGCCCGTTACAAGTTTCAAATATTCTTTAAAGGCCTTTTTGTTCATTTCCACAATTTCTTTCAAATTATGACTTTGCATGGCTTGTTTTGTCTAAAGAATAACATTAAAATGAGCAGTTCGGAGGAGAAACTGAAAATGATCATATTTAAGAAGCTAAACTGAGTAAATGTTTCAGGATGGAAAGAAATGTGCACGACTTTAGCACGAGTCCACCAGTTTTAGAGAAAATGCCTTCTCGGAAATGCATCCAAAAATTTACTAGTAATTTCTCCTCCAGGAATAGTAACTAGGTTACTCCAAAAAACGTAGTTGTGAGCAGTTTCATGGTGGACGCCATCTTTACTGGGTGACTTTGGTGTTTTCATGGTGCCGTGGTGACTTTAGCACGGGGTGGTGTGCCAAAAGAAATCCCAGTTCCTACATGAAACTACTAAGTAATCACAATGTTTCAAAAAAGAAATGACTGTTGAGTTTTGTTCAGTTTTTGTGGTGTTTACTTCATTCCATTATATTTAATGCAAAGGCAGAATATGTCTATAGATGAACAATCAGAGTAATCTGCTGGATTATTAGCAGACAACAGGTGAATCCTATAAATGTAAACGAGCTTTACCTCTAAATAAATGTACGTTTCCTCTGATTAAAACGTCCCATGTAAACATTGCAGAACCATAATAATGGATTAATTTGATGATGACTTTATTTATCTGCGTATCTGTAAAAATCCTAATCATCCTACAGTGTCAAACGTCCATTTAATTCAAGCTGTGTTGCGTTGCGCCGTTTGCCTTGTTGCACTTTATCCTGTGAGGCTGTCTGAATGTGTCTCTGACCTGAAGATAAGATGTGTGGCTCTCTCTGTGTGTAACCTGTCCTTGTATTTTCCTCTATGTGCATGATCGTCTGTGTAACCCTCGTTTCCCCACCTGTCACACTAACCCCTGTCTCCCTCTCCGCCTCCTTCTCTTCCTCTCTCTCTGTGATGGCTGCTGCTGTCTTGTCTGGCCCTCCTTCGTTTCCCTGCGCTGCTCCCATCAGGTCGGAGGTTTAGCATAATGTGTAACGACTCGGTCCTGTCTGCAGGCTTTCAGATAGACACTCCAGATACGCTGGGGAGGACCTGCCTCCACGCTGCTGCTGCCGGAGGGTGAGTCCATTACTTTCCAGATATGAGAATATAGTCAGTGCAGCAAAGGTCTGAGGAGAAATTGCCAGGTGGAACAAATATGATAAAATCTTCCAGAAATGGAAACTCATTTGTGTTCTGACATCAGCCAGGACATGATAACATTAGCTGCTGTGGTAACGGAATAAAACCAGTGCCTGTGTTAGCCTCGGCATGCTGGTCTAAATATGAGAACAAGTCATGGTGTTAATGGCATTAATTTGATTATGTTTTATTTATTGATTATGTTAAGACCTTACAACAATCACATGGCCCCCTATGGGCAGGAGCCTCTGCCAGAACCTGGCTCAGCAGTTCATTGTTATGCTGCATGTTTTTCAGTAACCAAACATTTTCCTTTTGTCTAAGGATCATAAATCCTTCACCTGTAAGCGTCATTTTGAGTAATAACTGCCGTCTCTGTGTTTTTGTGCAGTAATGTGGATTGTGTCAAGTTGCTACTGAGCAGTGGAGGAGACCACAACAGGAGAGATAAGTGTGGCAGGTACTTCATGTTGCTGTGTGGAGAACAGCTTTCTAAACTTTTTAAGAAACGTCAAAATAAAAAGGAAAGAAAAAAAGCAGGTCTTCAAATTCTTGTGTATGGTATATTTTATTCTACTGTATATAGTATTTTATTCTATTCTGTACAGTTGTGTACTTTATTTATTCTGATTATATTCTAATTTTTGATACATAACTTTTGCACTGTCCACTTCCTGCTTTGACAAAACAAATTTCCCACGTGTGGGACTGATAAAGGTCATCTTATCTTATCTTATCTTATCTGTTTCCCTTTGATTGCATTTTGAATGAAGTTACTTTTGTTGTCTTCATTTGAATTTCTCTCACTTCCAGGACTCCTCTTCACTATGCGGCTGCCAGCCGTCACTATCAGTGTCTGGAGACTCTGTTGGCATGTGGCACTGCCATAAATGCCACAGACCAGTGGGGGCGCTCCGCCCTGCACTATGCTGCTGCCTCAGATCTGGATAGAAGGTGAGCAAGCATTCAAAAACTTTACATAAAGCTGCAGCCACTTCTTTCTTTTTTCTTCTTATATGCTGAACTTGGTCAAGTTGTTGGCATTTTCAATCCAAAGTTATCTAATTATATTTATATTCATTTTTTTTTTATTTCGGTTTGATTTTGAGTTTAAGTCTAAAATGCTGTGTTGTAGACAGTTCCTTGGGGGACTATGTGACTCTCTTGTTGCTTCACTCTGTTTATTAGCTGGTCTGATCTTTGTACTGAGCACACTGTGGCTTTTAAAACAGCAGAATGCTCCTTTGAGAGCCTGAGTTTGCAGCTGGATGTACTGCTAAAATAAAGCTTCAGGCAATGATCCTTTTTTCACATTGTATTCACACATTTCTTTAAAGTATTGCATTGACATTAAACCATCTTCACTACATCTGGTTTAAAAGTTAATTTAACATTTAAAGGGGAAGGCCAACTAGTTTAAAATGAGCACATTGGCTAATACTGTCACGGTAACGCTGAAGAAATAAATGCACCAATACAAGCATTCAAAGACGCTGCATGCATTTGTGTAGAAACAGTATACGTCTGGTTACTATATTACAATGATAAATACTAATGCTGATCAGTGTATAAGCAGCATTTCACTGTTGGGTTTCCACAAGGTGGAAGAAGTTATCAGTGCATCTCAGTAGATGTGTTGAGCAGAGTCCTCCACGTTTACCTCAGTCACAAAAATGAGTGGAGACAGACGTTAACAGGTTATCCAGCGCCTGGCTGGGAGCTGAGCTGAGCTCTTCACACCCCCTCCATGGTGCATCACAAATCTGGCTAGCTGTCCTATGTTACCACATAAAGAAACCTGCTGAGCCATACCTACTGTTTCCATGGTAACCAGAGGTGATGCTGTCACTGAGTCATGCATGGTCTGCAGGTTTACGTTCAGTATTAGTTCAGTTAGCGTGTTAGCAGTGGCAGGTGATGATGCACATAGTTAAATAGGCTGTTTTGTTTTGTTAATGCATGTTGTATGTATGTAGTATATTGATACTTAATGTCATCCTATCTCTACGCCCATCTGATTTTTACCCTGATCCTCTGTTTGTCTCCTCCCTCATAGACGTCGTGTTGCTCTGGAGCCAGAGAGTGAAGGCGTTCAGGCAGAAAGGGAGAAGGAGGCAGCACTGTGAGTGGGAACAAAATCTACTGAAATTTGACCAAAGCTATGCACAAATCTACAATACATGCCAAAAACTGAAAGGTAGAACCGCATCTGTTTAAATGAAATTGTAAACAACAAAAACGACATTTTTGCGACATCTCCAAAAAGAGATGAAATAGATTGAATACTTAGATTAAAAAAAACTGATTCACTGAAGGTAATGAATAAATGATTAGCATATAGTAGTATAGAAAATTAATAAATTCTATTACTATGTAGCCAAATGTGATTAGCTTAAAGAAATAAATCTATCAAAATATATCAAAGTAAATAGTAATGTTAAAAAATGGAACAGGAAATATAACAGGTGATTTTCACAGTTTTCTCAAAGTTTATTAATGAAAAAAAGAAACAAAAAAGGGGAAAAAAAAGAAAGCAAAATTGGATAAATAAAAAGAACAAATGGCGATAAAAGACTATCATTAAACACAAAGTCTATAGCATACATGTGTGATGTGTAACTGACATTTAGCTCCAGTCAAGACTCACCACTATACATTTAAAACACATAAAACATTTAAAACGGTGTTATCTTGATGTCATAAGCTTGTGTGCTTTAAGCATGTTCTCTGTGGTTCGAGCTGCCTTCTGAAATGACATGTTTGTGTTGCAGATGTTTGGAGTTCCTGCTTCAGAGCGGTGCTACGGCCTCACTGAAAGACAAACAGGGTTACAACCCTGTCCACTACGCCGCAGCCTATGGACACAGGCACTGTCTAGAACTGGTCAGTTTACACAAACGTGTGACACATAGCACACCTTAGCCCCTTACCCCAGTGTGCCCCAACCAGGGCTATTAATGGGGAAAGAGTAGCATTAGCTAGGGATAGACCAATGGTCACCGTAGCCTCTGAGAGTCACTGAAAATTTGCTTTATATTGTCCCCGCTCTCTGCCCCCCTTTCCTAGCTCTCTCAGTCAGTCAAATCTAATAAAAACCAAAGAGCCCCGAAACAAATCTGACATAGTATTAGCTAGCTGACAGTAACAGGTAAGCTAACAGCTAGCTAAATGTAAGTTAGCTTGTTACAATTTGCCAACAAACTAATTGTCTTTGAAAAAGTAGCAGGCTAAAAACAACAAATTTACTGATTAGTTAATATAATTTGCTAAAAACAGCTGACTAAAAACAATGGTTTAAATGGGTAGCAAAAGTATAAAAAGGTAATGGTCAGTAATGAAATCATTTCGATTGGACCCTATTTCTGAACCCTGACTGAATCAAACTGCCTTCACTCTGCACAAACAGGATGTCTCCAGACTAAAGTCCTCACACAGATGCTCACACTCCTGTCACATGTTGTTGAATATGGTTGAAGCCTTACTGAGGAAATGCTTGTACTGTTGGGGATTGTCTGGAGGGAGTTTCTTTCTCTGCTGGCCTATCATGGCCTATCACTTTTTCACCACATGCCAGAAATCTGGGTGTTTTAAGTTAGAGCATCAAGTCTTTTATGTAACAAACAAACAAAAAAGAGCTCTGAGTAAATCCCTGAAAAACAGAGCTACTTAAATTTGATAAAGCACATGAACAGACTGTGACTGTGTTCACGTTGTTTTTGTTTTGACCTCCAGCTGCTGGACAGAGATGGCGGTCACCAAGATGACTCTGAATCTCCACATGCCAGGAGCCCGCTGCACCTCGCTGTCAGTATTAAACGGATAAAAGGATTTGTAGTAGATTATCCTATTTTTTTTTTTTAATTTACATTTTTAAACAATAATTTCTCTCTTCAGGCGTACCATGGCCATGCTCAGGCTCTGGAGGTGCTGCTGCAGGGGGAGAGAGAGGTAGACCAAGGGGACGAGATGGGGAGGACAGCTCTGGCGCTGGCTGCTCTCCGTGGTCACTCTGACTGCGTTCACACCCTCCTCAGCCAGGGAGCATCGCCACGCACTACTGATAAGCAGTATGGACGCACCCCGGTGCACCTTGCAGGTGAGCTTAGAAACATGGAAGCATGCAATTTGGCAATTTGTAGAAAAACAGGAATAGAAATAAGATAGCTGGTCTGGGAGACTGAATTTTCAAAACAAGAGCAAGGATGTTGTTATTTTGTTCCAAAAGATAAAAAAATTAATCAAAAATATAATTTCTATATGTGAAAATTTGTAGTGAAATCAGCATATGGTCGGTGTATATAACACTTTAATCCCTCTGCCAACGCTTTTTTAAACACATGTGGACTGTGAAACTACAAACAGCTGATTACCAAACCCTGGGATGGTTGTTTATTTAGATGGAAATCCAAGTATAAGATGTGTTATTTATGTGGAAAAGCTTTACACTAAACATCAGCATTGGGTCTCTTATGTCTGAAATTGCTTTGGCCTCTTCCTCCAGCCTTAACTCATTACTTCAGAATCATAGGAAACACTTGTTTTTCGTGCACCTCTGGGCAGGATTCTTTAGTGTATCAAAGCTCATCTTAGTTATTGTGTCCTCTTATTCCAGCAATGTGAGCATCATTTGAACATACTTGAGATGCCTAACCTTTGGACTGAATGTAGCTCTCTGTAGCTTCAGATATCTGCAGTCTTAGAATGGAAGAGTCCTTATTGTTCATTTGAAGCACATGTATGTGCCGCTCACGAGCCTGGGTTGCCTATAACTACACTTCAGATGAACTAAATTTAGAGTTTGTTCCCCACGTGGCTGAAAAAACAGGTGGTTAAATACTTTTTTTTCTACTGTGGTGACAGAAGTCATCACAACCTTTGTGTCACAGAGCTGATTTGTACGTTTGTGACACCTTGTGTTTTGTTCTCTTTGCAGTGATGAATGGTCATACTACGTGTGTGCGCCTCCTGCTGGATGAATCGGATAATTCAGACCTCGTGGATGTTGCTGACTCTCAGGGACAGTGAGTGACCCTCGCTCCCGCCCCCACACATCCTGTTTGCTTCGTGCGATTTGTCCCTTTCCGTTTTCCCTCTTAAATATGTCGTCCTCGTCTGCAGGACTCCTCTAATGCTCGCGGTGGCCGGAGGTCACGTCGACGCCGTGTCGCTGCTGCTGGAAAGGGAAGCCAATGTCAATGTGGCCGATAACCACGGCCTCACAGCGCTGCACCTTGGGGTGAGCGCGGAACTTGTGTTTGTGTGGATTTAGTGCAGTCTCTATTTATAATTTCTTTCATTTGTGACAAGAAAGAAGCAATAAGTTTTATATTAGGGCCTATTAGACTCCCATTAACATTTTTAGGAGGGACCTTCTTGGAAATGTGCTTTATTCATTAGAAGACTTGTAAAAAGAGACAAAACAGGAAATGTTCTTTCAGATTTGTATTATAGATTCTTATATAGCTTCTGCTCTGTTGTCTCAGCTGCTGTGTGGTCAGGAGGAGTGCATCCAGTGTCTGCTGGAGCAGGAGGCTTCGGTTTTGCTCGGCGACTCGCGCGGTCGTACAGCCATCCACTTGGCCGCTGCCCGAGGCCACGCTTCCTGGCTGAGTGAGCTGTTGAGCATCGCCTGCTCTGAGGCGCCATCCTTGCCCCCGCTGAGAGACCACAGCGGGTACACACCGCTGCACTGGGCCTGTTATTATGGTTAGTGGCACCTGCAGACACGTTTTTAAATAAAAATAAAAAAAGTAAATTCAGTTCAAAACAGACAATCCTTTGTGAGCAGCACTTGGTGATAGTGGGGAGGAAGAACTCCCATTTAACAGGACGAGACCTCCAGTTAGGAAACTTTTCCCTAAAGTGTGTGTTTGTGTGTAGGTCATGAAGGGTGTGTGGAGGTCCTGCTAGAACAGAAAGGCTGCCGCTGTATTGATGGGAACCCCTTCACCCCTCTGCACTGCGCTGTGTAAGTCACACTGATATCCCGGAGTCGTCTTTTTTGCTACTGGAATAGTGTTTTTCCTGCTTTTCAGAGGCCGATTTCAGTCGCTGAACTCCTGTTTGTGTTTTGTCTTTCAGAACCAATGATCACGAGCCATGTGCATCGCTGTTGCTGGAGGCGATGGGTTCAGACATCGCTGGCTGCTGCGATGCTAAGAGCAGGTAAGAAGCGAGTGTGGACATGTCGCCAGCGCAGCTCCTCCCACGCTGCCGAGCACCATTTGTTCTCATTCCATCCTCTCTCTTCCAGGACTCCTCTTCATGCTGCAGCATTTGCCGGTCATGTCGATTGTGTCCAGTTGCTCCTTTCCCACGATGCACCTGTGGACGTCGCAGAACAGTCGGGTCGCACTGCGGTGATGATGGCGGCTCAGAGGGGCAGGGTCGGGGCTCTTGGTACGGGGTTGTTTTACATGTGCTTATGTTCAGAAAATGAGCAGTGATTTTGTTTTTTATACATGCTCTGTATTCTGTCTCGTACAGAGGTGCTGTTGACCAGCGCCAGTGCCAACCTCAGTCTGACTGACAAGGACGGCAACACCGCCCTGCACCTGGCTTGCAGTAATGTACGTCTACAAGGGGGCACCACGCTCCAGCATTAGTGTTTGGCCCAGTTTTGTGGGACCTTTGTTTACCTGTTTTACTGAAAGGAAGGCTCACAGATGAGACCTCAGTGCTGTTTACTTATGCAGAACTCTGGAGGACTTTTTAACTTGAGTCCTTCTTCTTTCAGGGGAAGGAAGACTGTGTGTTGCTGATCCTCGAGAAGCTGTCTGACACTGCGCTCATTAATGCCACGAATGCAGCGCTGCAAACGTGAGTGTGAAAATACTTTGGCCCTCATGTCTGTACATATAGGAAACACATGTGTCACTGTAAACAAGAGCTTTTGAAATGATGTATGTAAAGATTTGGTCCAGGATCAGTCCAAGTAAAATAAATAAAATTAGTTTTTCAGATACTGTGAACATTTTATTAAACGAATTTGAAAACCTGTTTCACTAGAGGTGATGTAGTTCAGTTAAACAAGAGTACTTGTGTAACCATGAGTGACATTATGTGTAACTTTCTGTCAGTCCTCTGCACCTGGCGGCTCGTAGCGGTCTTAAGCAGGTGGTCCAGGAGCTGCTGTCCAGAGGAGCCAACGTTCAGACGGTGGATGAGAACGGTGCGGTAAACTCAGTACTTATCAGGGCCTGACTGCACACCTGCATGAATGTCTTCCTTCTCTCAGCATGGACTCAGCTTGTCTACTGAAAAGCTTTAATGCTGTTTTCCACGTTTGCTGCAGACAAAACAGTTTTTAAAAGGGTTACCACTCGTTGTAGAGTTAGGTGAGTTTTATAGAGTGCAGGAAGGGTTTTCAAGTGAATTTGGGGTTTGTTACATAGCAACAGACAGACAGAGATGGGTATAGAAAGCAGGCCTGTTACTGTTCGAGGTCGGCACAATAACTAGTCCACCCATATCTAGGAAAACGTAATGATCAAAGTAAATCTTCGATGGAGTGATATTTTTTGGCTTTTATTTGATGGCAGGAAATGAAAGAAGAGCATGAATTGACATAAGATTTAGAAATTGATACTTCAGGTGTATCTACTAAAAATCACAGACAAGTTCAAATCTGAGCTCTACGGGAAGGTCAGAGGCCAGGTTTTCTGAAAATCATGCGAATGCGATACATAGGACTGTGATACCACAGGTGTTTGATACCAGGCGACTGGGGGCCAGTAGTTTTTATATGAAGCTGTGGAAACCCGGATTAAAGCTGTTCATGTGTTTTTTGTGAGCTTTCTTTGTTCTTTGTTCTTTGTTTTGTTGGCTATAGATCAATTTAAACCTGAAAGTCCATAATTGATTAGCTTAGATCAGCAATACTGGATGAAGTACTTTTGTATATATTCAGTTACTGGAGTTTTAGATTAAGTTGTAACCCCATTTCTTTTCACTACTATGGGCTAAGGATTTGTTTTATTAAGGGTAATTGTAAGAACAAAAATAGTTA